GCTAAATTTCACAGTCTAAAAATTTCTGCAATCGCTATGTGATGTGAACCATAAGGAATGCGTGTTTATGATCATACTTCGGTATTGCGTGCATTTCCAGCTGTCTACAATGTTTTGATTGTTATGAGGCATTGCTCTTGTCTTTCGAAATGCGTTCAGTCTGTAGCTTGTAAATACGCGGGAACCTATCACCAGCCCTATGAAAATAAAACAATTTAAGAAATATTTGTTATGAGTTATTGCCCTTGTTCTTGGAAACGTGTAGAATGCACAATTTGGACAAAACTGGGAAAATTGTTTATTATCAACTAACGATGAACTTTATCACAATATAACTTGTTCTTTAGCTAGTAAACACTGAAGAAGGCACAATTATTGATAAATTTAGATACATTTAGATAAAACTTCATAATAATCAAGTAGGAACCTCATTAAAGTGTTGAAAAATATCTTAGACTCGACCGACTCACTCTTTTGAGCTAACCGAATTGTTTGTTTCCAGATGTAAAAAAAAATACAGATATTGGTACTGTTTGATTGTAGTATGTAGTAAAGGTTAGTAATGATACAGAGGTTGATTCTGTTTGACTGTAGTATGTAGTAGAGGTCAGTAATGATACAGGTATTGACGTGTTTGAGTGTAGTGTGTAGTCGAGGTCAGTAATAATACATATATTAATAGTGCCTGTCTGCAGTATGTTCTCCGGGTCAATAATACAGATAGTGATAGTGTCTGACTGTAGTATGTAGTATAGGTCAGTAATAACACAAATATTGATAGTATCTGACTGTAGTATGTAGTCTAGGTCAGCAATGATACAGTGATGATATTGGTAGTGTCTGACTGTAGCATGTAGTCTAGGTCAGTAATGATACAGCTATTGATAGTGTTGACTGTAGTATAATGTCTAGGTTAGTAATGATACAGATATTGATAGTGTATGATTGTAGTATGTAGTCTAGGTCAGTAATGATACAGATATTGATAGTGTTTGATTGTAGTATGTTGTTTAGGATAGTAATGATACAGATATTAGTACTGCTTGACTGTATTATGTAATAGATGTTAGTAAGGATACAGATATTGATACTGTTTAACAGAAGTATGTAGTCTAGGTTAGTAATGATACAGATATTGATAGTGTTTGATTGTAGTATGTTGTCTAGGTTAGTAATGATACAGATATTGACAGTGTTTGACTGTAGTTTGTAGTAGATGTCAGTAATGACTGCAGACATCTTCTGTATACTAGTTTCAAACACGGATAATTCACATGTGAGTTTGAGGCTCAAATTTGGACGGTGACCTGTGAACACTATTACTGATTGGCTTAGCTAAAACAATCCCGTGAGACTAAAGTATGATTGGCGTAACTGTCCCTTTTAAAAAATTATTTGTCCTGGTCGCAAAAAAATTGTTCCATGCTGCATGAATCGAGTTGAAAAGTGAGCCATGTTTCCACTTTCTTGAGAACTTTAAGTAGTTTTTACAATTTTCACATAATTCATTTGTTTGTTTCGAAGTTCATTTTAATTCTGGACACTAAGAAAAAAAGAATCCTTTAGAGAAACAACATTGTGTCGGTGAAGGCAAGTTTCTGGACGACAAATTGGAAGAGGTTTGAATGAAAGACTAACAAGTCAGTTTTTAGTCACATGATAGCGGACGGGTCCTTTTTCAATTTATAAGTGACCAAGTTTGACAATTAAACACATATTTAAACATTTTGTCCAAATTTTGTGGATCATGGGTTATTGTCTCATAAAATATTGTGAACGGACAGACCCAGGGCGAACGATCTAGGGGCAAACATGATAAAGACCGAAAATGTATAGGGGCGAACGCGTTTAACAGTACCTAGCTAAATATAAAATTCTAACTTCATGACCTAGGCCTGCGCTTTTATGGGATTTTTATTCTCATATCACCATTGCTTTATCACTAGAGGTTACGCCTACATGAATGTGCCTGTGCTTTCGTAACATTGCTTAACCGCAATGTTAAAACCTAAAATTCCTAATATCCATAGGACACAACATTACAATTTTTGTGGAAATATACATTAGGTCTACTTACTCAGTGGCGTAGCCAGGATTTCATTGACGGGAGCGAGGGGCACATTTACCCTCTTTTTGGCTTTTCGAGGTAACTACCCTCTAAATACGCCACTGTAGTAACGTGTAAAAACGTAGTAATATTAGGAGAAA